GTTACGTTTAAGGTAATTCAGAGTTTTATTGGCATTTAGATTTACTTATTTTACATGAGATACAAAGAAACACGTCTATATTTAAATCCATAACAACAATTTCGTTAAATTCTAACCTAGTTTTTCTTACCGCTTGCATTTTTCTTCTTTAAAAGTGTCGGTTAATATCGACCGCTGTGGTCGATATTACCCCACTGTGGTCGATATTACCCCACGGTGGTCGATATTACCCCACGGTGGTCGACACGGCACTGCTATGAATATTATTGTAGATGCCACGTGCAAGATATAAGCGGGATAGTGGTCGTTCTTCATGGTCTGAAGAAAACATGCAGCGTGCCCTTAAAGCAATAAGAGACAAAGTTACATCAATAAGGAATGCCTCAAGGATGTTTGATGTGCCATACGGAACGCTTCAGGATAGGATTAGAGGAAAAGGGCTTCAAATTACTGGTGCAATATATAGATGTTCTAAGTCGGGGTGGATTACTGAAGAACTTTTCACAGAATGGATCAAACATTTTGCATCTTACACAAAATCTAGTAAAGATGACCCTGTTTTACTAGTGCTTGACAACCATTCAACCCACTCAAGCTTATCGACATACAACTTTTGCAGAGAAAATGGTATTAAAGTTGTATCAATTCCTCCTCACACATCGCACCGCCTCCAACCTCTTGACGTCTGTTTCTTTGGACCATTAAAGATAGCCTATAATCAGGAATGTGACAAATATATGAAATCCAAACAGCATGAAAAAATCCTTCAAACTGATATCGCTGAATTATTCAAAAATGCCTTCAATAGGGTAGCCACAGTCGAGAAAGGTGTACGAGCCTTTGAGGTAACTGGAATATTCCCCTTTAACCGTTTTGTGTTTACTGAAGAAGAATTGACACCTTTGCCGGACGATGACGTGGAGCGCCAAGTGGAGCACATAACCGGCGAAAATTTAATGCCTCCTAATTCCCACGAAGAAAATGAGGGTCCTGCAATTCAACGTAATGAAAAAACGCCTTCACCACCGAGTAGGCCATCCACATCTAAGTGTCAATCTCCACCTAAAATGATACCAAATAGACGTAAACGTGAAACCTCATCTTCTTCAGATTCTGGTAACTCTGATTTGGTCTTAGAGGAAGTTATCGAGGATGAGTTAAGTGACGATACTGACAAGACCCTCCAACCGAAGAAGGGTAACAAAAGTTTTACTGATCTTCTGCCTTTGCCGAAATTAAAAACCAGAAATACGTTACGGAAAGCCCAACATTCCCAAATTATGACGTCGACTCCTTTAAAAGATGAACTAGAAAAAAAAGAAGTGAGAAAAAAGACCAGGCTGAAAGATCTGGGAAACGTCAAAAGAATCGTGGTTTCGGGCAAAAAAAATAAAAATATGACGGTTAACCAAAAATGTACCATTTGTGACGATTTTGGTCTTAAAAATGATTTATGGTGGAGGTGTCGTTCGTGTGGTTCTTGGGCTCACGCTGACTGCACAGATATTGAAGAAGCAAAGAATTACCAATGTGATGACTGCTTAAACTAAAATAACTATTTTTTGTATGTTTTTTCTTCAATAAATTGTCTCATTTGCAATTAAAATGTTTGGTCGATATTTGCCGACACTCTGATCGAATTTACCCGAAAGGTCGATATTATCCGTTAAATTTAGCATTCTTTTCTTTTTCCGATAAAACAAAAAAAAACTTATTAAAAAAACTGAAGGCGGGGATTTTCTAGATAAATATATTTAAAATAGTTTTCCAGAAATCCCGGTAAATATCTGATCAAGTAAGTGAGAAAACTGTCTTTTTGCTTAAGTGGTCGATATTCGACCACTTTCCCCTACTATTTTAAGTGTACCTTGAATCTTAGCCACAAGTAAGGTAAGATTTCTGTTCATGCATGCATTTGATCAATCACTTCTGATTGGTAAAGTGTTTTATTTATTTTAAAACAGTAAGTTACTATATTACTCGCTACTATTGTGCAGCTAACTGTGGTTGGTAAACATAATAATATTACTGTCACAGCTAAACGTATTATGTTGATACTGCCACAAGTAAACATGTTATGTTGCTGTGATAGCTAATAAGTGAACGATCTCTTTTTCCCGGTCCATTTTCGTCACGAACAAATACGAAGTATTCCGATGCCATACACCTTAAACATAATTTGAAGTCCGCGTAATAAATCATTGTACTGGTGTAGTGTATACTTCGTAACGTATCACAATTTATGTGAAATATACTTGACTAATACGGATTACAAAAGAAAACTTTGCTTTTGTACCAAATGCAGCAATTAATGTTCATTATATTGCACTGTACACTGTTCACTGTGACCTTGCTTTTTGGAATTGAATATTGTCGTACCTATCTATTTTTTAATGATGTAAAATGAGTAAGCATTCTAAGTAAAAAATTACTTCTATAGCAACACAAGTTCTCGTCTCTAATATTCTATTGAAAATAAAACTAACCCACAATTAAAATTTCCTACTGTCCTACAATACAGTTCAGCTATTTTAATTATTTATCTGAAATAAAATACTACAGCTGAAATATTAAATACTACAGCACTACGTTTACCATTAATGCACGGTTCACTTACCTTTAACGTAATTAAAATTATATTTAGCTGAAAGTTTTAGTAACAGTAGCAACATAGTTTAATTACAGCAGCAAGTAGTGTTAGTGGGCACAGTTAGGTGACCTGTTCGCTTTTGTCTAGTGACTGGCTACGAGAAATCCTGTTTTAGTTACTGCAATTGCATTGTTTATCTGTCCTCTATTGAATACACTTTTTTTTGCTAAGGCAAGTGATTTTTTTCTCAGTGTATGTGTGATTTTCAATATTACTCTTGTATTTTCTATTTCCTTTGATGGGAGAAATGATTCCTGAACATTTGTCGCAACACAAAATGTTCCGCATAGTTATGTTTAAATTTTGGAAGCATGAAATTGACTTAAATTTGAGATTGAAAGAAAATTGATAGGTCGATATTTATTTTTTCCTGAGATACATATCTAAGCGCATTTAAATTCGTAAATTAAATAAATATATATCTTATTACACAAATTAATTTAGTATTAATTAAAAATATTTTGAAAATATCCTCTTCCTTGCTGAATACAAGCTTGTACTTATGTGGCAATAGATGAAATCACAATTTATTCATTCATTAAGTTTTTTTATCAAAATTAAGTTTTTATTTGGTTTATAAATTTAAATTTATTTATTTACTCTCCGTAATTTCACACTACATTGCGGAACAAATGAACATCAATCTACAATTTGTATAAAAATACAAAGCTTATTGAATTATTCTTTTTAATTTTCCGGTATATCAATAAAATAAGAGATTAGTTAGCTTAATTACCCAATATTGGTAAATAATGGGTAATTTTGGAACTCAGTCGGGCAAGAAGTATAATTCTGTGTGTTGTCTAAAACACATACTCCAGTTAATTTTTCAGCAGCTTAAATAAACATTAGTTCTATGGGGTAGATTTAGAGCATATAGAAGTCGTCCATATATAATTTACTCCAATAATATAATAATATAAAACGTACCTTTATTCACTAAATGTTTCCTGCCTATAGAACACTTAACTAACGTGCTTATATTTTATTAAAAAAAACAAACCAACATAAAAGACATACAAAACATGGGTATAAACTTATTTGGCTAAGCCAAGAAATAAATCACGTTCTGGATCGCCATATAACCAGTTATGAAGAATCCCGTCGCCCATGACAAACCCCTGGCTGGTTGAGGGATGACAACGACGGCGTAAACAAAAGTATGGGAAATTCTGGCAAGAGTGAAAGCCCTGAAGAGCCAAGTTGTAAGGAAGTATGATGGATTTGTTAGAATGTAGATCAAACTCACTATGAAGAAGATGGGGATGTTCTCGAGGTCGTTTAAGTGAGCTCTGCAATAAATAAAAATGTTACTTCTTTGTTATTGAAATCTTATTTGTATGTAAAAAAAATACATAAATATATACTGAATAACATACAAAATTATTTTTTACAAAATTTATCGATTTTGGAATATACAAGTTGTTACAAATTCGTTTCTCACTACAAGGATCTCGGAAATGGTAAGAAATATGAAGTAGCTTAATGGGGGCAAAGTTGCATAATCAGGGGACCAACATTGTACCTCCAAAAAATCAAGGCTAACTTGATTAGTTTTCGAAATATTTGAAAAAAAAAGCGAAACTTAGGAAATACGTTTTTGTTTAATTTCAGTCTTGTTTGAGTTGATATTGAAGAAAGAACACTTTATCATGGCAACTTTTTGCCCTCTATCGAATGGCATAATCAATTTTTATATTTAACGTTTCGTCTCTCCAGGACCATCATCAACTTCATTTTTTTAAATACGACCCTGGAAATTTTATTAAATTTTTTTGTAAGCCTTCATGACCCCAATACTGTACTACCTCAGCCCTAACCAGATTCAGACGTTTTGTCTCGAAAAATTCATCTTCAGTGTATTCGTTCCAAATTTATTTAAATTTTTTATTTAGATTTCTTTGTTTATTGAATTATCGTACATTGTAAGTGTAGTTAGACCCTGTGAAGTCCATCTAGTTATTTAAACTATTACCGCCACGCATTAAAATCCCGAGTACTCAAAATTCAAACAAATTCCGATCTATTTTTTTCAGAATATTCATACAAATGCATCTGACATGCTCTTTCACAGTTGCGGTTACAGTATAATAAATTTCGTTAATATTACGCTGATCTTCATTTTCAACCTTTGTTAAAACGAAAATGTTTTTGAACATTTATTGAAATTCTTTAAATAATTATATTCAGTTGGCGTTTTGGTTGTTCATATGCATTTTTAAGAATTAATTTGTCATAATAAAATTAAAATTGTAATAATGTTTTAATTTTGACGCAACAACTTATTGAGTTATGTATGACCAAGTGATGGTAATAGTTAATAATAATAAATGTTTTATTATACCTAACGCGCGCTGGTAATAGTTCAAATAACTAGATGGATTTCACAGGGACTAACGACATTACAGTGTACGATAATTCAATAAACAAAGAAATCTAAATAAAAAAATTAAGTAGATTTTGGAACGAATACACTGAAGATGAATTTTTTTCGAGACAAAACGTCTGAATCTGGTTCAGGCTGATGCATTACAGTATTGGGGATCATGAAGGCCTGCAAAAAATGTAATAAAATTTCTAGGGTCGTATTTAAAAAAATGAAGTTGATGATGGTCCTGGAGAGACGAAACGTTACATTTAAAAGTTAATTATGCCATTCAATAGAGGCTAAAACGTTGCCATGAGAAAGTGTTATTCTTTTTTCAATATCACCTCAAACAAGGCTGAAATGAAACAAAAACGGGTTTCCAAAATTTCGGTGATTTTCAAATATTTCGAAAACTAATCGTGTTAGCCTTGATTTTTTAAAGGCCGGTTCCCTGATTACGCAACTTTGCCCCCATTTAAGCTACTCCGTACCTCTTATCGTTTCCGAGATCCCTGTAGTGAGAAGCGAATTTGTAACAGCCTGTATATATTTGACGCAGAAGTATTTGTACGTTTGCAGAAAACCTTCTTCTAAAAATTATGACGTGAGTTATGCTTCACGGCGGAGAAGATTCTTTGATTTAGATGAGGATAATTTATATGTTTTAGCTAACCACGATTTATATTTGTCGCAGGCTAATAGTAAATTCAGTCTTTTTATAAAATGTCTAGGCGTTTTATAAATGACTACGCAAATTGTAAAAATGATGTATAAATACAATTTTTTTACAATTTTACTGAAAATTTTAGGCGTTTTATAAAACGCCGAATAAGAATAATAAGTCTTATTGTAAACGCATCTTAATTTTCATTTTTTTTAGAATATGACTGACTCTCCAGCCGTTTTGTAAACGACTGAAAATGAATTAGACATTTCATGAAATATAAATTTATATTATTGCTAATTCGTACAATGCTACGTACAAATAAAAAGTGTTTTTTAATTTTACATAGTATGGCATGAAAAAAATGGTAATTTTTACATTTGATTTTTTTAGCAATAAGTAAGTGTTAAGTTCTAAATCTACAAAGTTTAAAGTAAGTACCTATTGTGTTACTTTTTTGAACAAGCTGAGTCTTCTAACATCTTGAATCGGTTGTATATCATTTTACAATTTGCTCAGTCATTTATAAAACACCTAGGCATTTTTATAAAAAACTGAATTTGCAATTAGCCTGCGACATATCAAGCAACTAGAGAATTGACCAGTATGAATTTTGACTTATTGTATGACCTTTATACATATGTCATGGAAATTATGATTTAAAGTCACCCTATGCTGTTTATTGAACGAAAACTACAAAACTTTGTTTTTTTTTATTTGCCCATCTTATGTACATATGTTCCATACATTACTAAGAGGGCTTATTTAATCATCTTCCTACCCCATTTTCCATCCAATAACCTCTGAGGAATCTTCTTAACAACGAAAATGTTCTTTATCGGTTTTTAGTAATTTTTATCAAATTAATAGATAATAACTGTCATTGTCTCTATTTATCTTCACTTTCAATTGAATTATTTAAAAACGAGTCACGCAGTCACTGTACATAATTGTATCTGATATATAGTTTGTGGCGAATCTGATCATCATAGTTAATGCTGATGTTTAAATACTATGTTGACTTACCTCCTAACTCTTTCGACATTATCGTCTTGTTTTACTTTGAGTTTAAACCTAGCGGCATCTTCAGGATTTGCATATGCCTGTAACAAAAAAGATATATTTCAAATGTACGATATTCCTCTGTTTAGTTGGCTGCTCTGGCTAAAATATAATTTTGCTGCCATTAATTGTGAATACATTAAATTTTATTTATCATTTTTTCAAATTGTTAAGAGTATAAATTATTATTATTTATTTTCTGGCAACTATGTGTCTTAATCTTCGATAAGGCGCAATTAGTTTTCTTTTATATTATTAAAGTCCGTATCTATAAATAATAATATAATGATGATAATAATAAGCTTATTTATTATAGGGCCGATTCTGTTCGTTTATTGCCCAAGATCTTGTTTTATAAACCATGTTGTTAAAAATGTAAATTATAACAAGATGACTTATTAAAACCATATTCTGTTTACACCTTTATAACAAGTATTGCTAAAAGTTACAATGATAACAATATTGTTTAGAATACGTCATTTTTCAATTTGGCAATATCGCATTAATCGGTGAATTCTTAGAGAAGAAAATTATAACCTAAAATTTACAATTTGTGTAATGTGCAGGTATGTTGATGTATTGTGGAAAATTTTCAGTTTTTTGCATAAAAACTTATACATATGTGTATTAGGAAATGACAAATGCCGTCTGTCAGCTCGCAGCAGCACTTTCAAAAGTAGCGGGTGCAATTTCAAAAAACTAAGATGCAACATACTCTGGTATATGTAGCTCTGTGAAACATTATATGTATATCTAGTAATACTATTTTCATACTTATACCTATTAAACATCATTATATGTATTTAGGTAAAGAAAAGTATTGACACTAGTTCTATATTTTTATTTTTATATAAACAAATATTTATTGAACATCTGAAAAAAATTATAATAGGGTACTGTAGTTTAAAGACATAAAAATTTACTGCTTGAACATTTATTCTATAAAATCTTTTTCTATTCAAGTTTGCCACTAGGTAATCTATTTTTGGGGAAACTATAGCTATATGTGTACAATCTATTGTACCAATTACGTTTAGAAATAGAAATCCTTTATTTAAGAATCTAAATAATTACTATTTTTTTTTCTTGAATTAATTCTAAAGTTCAATTTTATTTAAACGAAATAATTTCATAAATTTTTCATTGGGTAGTTCACAGAATCAAAATACTCCCATATTTACAAAAAAGATACCAAATAGTATTTTAAATATAAAATAGAATTTAGTATTTTAAATACTGTAATAAGGTATTTTGTATTTTAAATTCTACATAATTAAAATACTATTTTAAATACTGGGTAATTCATATTTAAAATACTTTCGTACTAGTATTTTGTAATTTTTATTTTAAATACATTTTGAAAATATTTTGCCCAGCTCTGGTATAGTTGTGTCTCTATTAGATCTATGTATATTGCAGTCTTAAATGATATCTAAAGTTTTACTCTATTTTGTATGTTCCCTTATGGAATAAGATACTTACTGGTTAAGGACATTTTTAATCTCCTCAAAAAAAATAATTTGAAAATAAATAAATTCAGGATAGCTATAACTATATAGCCATTTTAATTATAATTACTGCTCTTTCATTTTGATAACAATCACTGAAATGAGTTTGCTGAGATAACAATATTTGATAACAAGAACTTGTTACAATGACATATCATATTGTTAAAATTCGTCAAACAGAATAGAAAATCTACGAACCTTGTTACCAGATACCCAGATCTCTTTAAAATAACAATAAGCAATATTGCTATATTCAAACAGAATCGACATGAATATCTATAAAAAATGTGATATAAAACAATAGACCTTAATAATAAATAAACTAGTTCTCACAGATGCTTTAGCTTAAAGCTATTGCTTGTATGTGATTAAATTTATAAATTTTAATATTAGGTACTGATAAATAAATTCTCTAGTATTATCAGGTTTAAATATACAAATTTGTATAAATGTTATTATCCACAGGGTGTTCCGCCTAAGAGAGATTCTTCTGTAACTGTGCAACTGTAAAATTTGTATAAAAAAAGAAAATATTTTTAGCTTTACAGGGTGTTCCATTTCACGTGGGCGCTACATAACTTTGTTATTTTAAATGGAACACCCTGCATATTATAGCATTTTTAAATTCCTTGGTTAATATTAGGTGGAGTTTATTAAATGTACATGGTGTTTAAAACTTACCGTTTTCGAGATAATCAGTTATTTTTGAAAAAAATCACAATTTCAGCTCTAAATGAGGCTAGATAGCGTCTAAATCATAAAAGTTAGAAACCTGTAGTTTCCACAGTTCGTTTTGGCATAAATTGCTCTATATTATCATCTGTAAGCAAAACGTGTACTTTGTTCAGACTCAGAAATACTGACCTACATTTAATAATCTTACGAGTTGAACAACTTTTTTTTTCAAAAGGAATGGCCCATATTAATTATCATGGGCGAATGCAAAATTGAATGCCCTTTCAACTGATATAAGGTTGTCCATACTTATCTTTTAACAGTTTTTCAGAAAAATCAAGTTATTTTCTAAATTCCCAAAAAGTAGCTATGTAACAGCGTCAAGGAGGCCTTGCAAACCATTTTTCTCTCACATTTTATCAGAGTAGTAGTATCAGAGAGTATCTCAGAGTTTATCAGAGTTTTATCTTGACTGAGAGTGTCAAAATTTACTGGCATGTTTAAAAAGTGGTTTGACAACAACAACTAAAACAAACCGCAAAACGAAACAAACTGAAATTCGGAACACAAGGAGAAGAATACTTAGACCGCTGATTTACATCAATTGCTCGAATTGCTCCATTTTGATTTATACATAAACGAATTCGATTTTTAAAAGACTGTTCAATATTGGTCAGCATGTGTGGCGTAATTTCTTGAATTGCTACTGTAATGCGCTGCCACATATATTCCGCGGTAGTTGGTGGTGTAACGTAAACTTTGCATTTATAAGTACCTATAAAAATATATAATACTTTTTCGGACTTTAGAAAAGAACCTGACTTTTCTGGAAAACTGTTAGAGATAAGTATGGACAACTTCAGATCAGTCGAAAGGGCATTCAATTTTGCAATCACCCGTGACAATTAATATGGGTCATTGCATTTGAAAAACAAATATAAAGTTTTTCAACTCGTAAGATTATTAAATATAGGTCTCAGTATTTAGGAGTCTGAATAAGGTACACGTTTTGCTCACAGATGACAGGAGTAATTTATGCCAAAATGAACTGTGAAAACTGCAGGTTTATAATAAATTTTTATTATCTGAGTAAAAAACTTTATGTTGATGTTAGGTAAATTAATATATCTATAATTTATATTTAAATATTGAATTTTTTTTAATAAAGTACTGATAATTTTTTGTGTTTTATTAACAATATTTTCATTATCTCTGACTGAAAGTGGATTACAAAAGAGCCTATATTTTTAAAATGACAATCTCTTTCAATCTGTATTCATATTTTTACTAATTTTAGGCTTATGTATGTATCTGTAATTGTAACTGTGTTGTAGTTTGGAAATATCAATGTTTCTTTTCTGACGTGTGTAAACACTTTGTGTAATACACGAATCAATAAAATGAAAAATGAAAATCAAAAAATACTTTTTTAATATCGAATAGGATAACAATTCAAAAATTCAAAATATCTTAAATGAGTATGATTATTTTGTCAGTGAAATTGTAACAAATAATTATTGTCTATTGAAAAAAAAACACATTTTGCACATTAAAGTTCCACGTTTGTAAAGAATTGTAATATGTACTCCAATGGACTCATTTTTTGTCTTTAGGGAATTTTGTGTTAATCATTGACTAATAGTCGCGGTTACATGGGACTCGGACATTTATAAAGGTACTGTATTTTAAGGTATTCTCTCAATAGTCTGGGAGCTAAATAATCCGAACATGGGTTATTCAATACTTTTGTCACATTTTGGTTTGGCAACTTTATTCTCATTTCCCCTAGTAGTAAGTTAAAGATTTTGTTGTTATCAACCCTTTCCTTAAATTAATGAATAAATTAAGTACACGTTTGCATTGCGTCACATATATTAGTATTAGTATTTCAAAATAAAATGGTACCAGAGTAAGTAAATGGCTTCCCATACATCTAATAATAATATTTAATATATTTTTTGTATGATATTTAAATTATTTAATTGTACATCATATACCCCATCCCATCCTACAATTTCATATATCAACTGGGGCTGAATCAAAGAAAAATATATTATTTTTAAATGCTTTATATCTTTTAAATGTTTAAATAAGGGAAGTGTGCCTACGATTTTTTAACAATATTGTTAATATGTAAGTCCCATTTCAAGTTGATCTCTAAATATTATACAGTATTTGATTCTGGAGTACTTAAGCTTTGATTACTTACTAGAGTTATTTGACAGATTGTTGTTATGTAATATGAATGGTAAATATTTTGTTTTTTCAGAATTTAAGGTAAGTGTAATCGTAATCATTTCTCACTAGTAAAAAAGACATTTTCTGCCATAATCTTCAGATGCTCCCATGTCTCACCTTCGTATAACACTACAGCATCCTGAGCAAAGCTCAAAATTTTACAATTGATATTAAGGTGAAGTTAACTTTTAAATAGCATCCTCTCTCTGTTGATCTTCCTATTTAAAGTTTAATTTAACCGACGTAAAATTGTTTCGAATAATCTATTTTTAATAAATATAAATAGAAAATTCAATTAAATATTGAATGTTTCTCTAATAATAGAAGTCAAGAAAAATGAATACGAGTATATAAAGAAGATTTCAAAAGCATTTTAAATGCTTGCTGTAGTGTTTCCAATGTGCTTCTGTAATGATTGCAAGGCCAAATTATGATGTCTCATTATCAGTCAGTTTGTGTATGACAACAATTCTAAGATGACGATGCAACAAAATCGGAGAGTCACTCAAAATAACAAAATAATAATGAATTTCATTTCTCTGCGATGATTAGGACAAAACCCATAAATAATAGATACCTATAAGCTGATGTTTTAAGCGAATAATGTAGCTTATCTGCCA